TCTTCTGCTTCCTGACGACGTTTGCTGCATGATTTTACAACGACAATCATTAATTTCCTGATGGCCATTAGGGATTTTCCATTCCTTGGCCTTCACTCCATACTCTGAAGGATGAACCGATGCTACTGCTCCCAGGTAGGTATTGCATGGGGTTGTTGCTCTTGATTTAAAGCACGGGGAGGCTTAGGCCTCGCCATTCCTTTCATTCCTCCCTACCTTTTCATCCTTTCTGGAACATTAGCCAATAAACCCAGGTTGGTGGAGCGGTTGTTTCCAGAAGTCATGTTCCAAATCCAAGGCATCTTCCCATCCATAACCTAGTGATGCTGGTATCAAAAGGCCTTGAAGGAACATCCCACGTCTCCGGCTTCCTCGTTCGGTGTACCCGTAACTACGTGTTTTGCCACATTTCTTGCCTGATGCTCTGCAAATGCTCCTCCATGGTGATCCCAAGGGCCTCATCACCACAGGACCAAATTTTTCAGGGAGATTCAAAGTGCACTGGCACTTCCATAATCACCACGATTACTCAGGATGATAAAACAGGTTATAATATTTCATTGCTACGGATTTGGCATTTAGGATCTGCCTCAATCTCAAAGCCTGAGAAACCAAGACAAGTCACAGGGTTGGGCTGTGGCCACCACTCAAGCTCTTGGACCAGACGGACCTTGGATCTGATCCCGCCGGGCAGTGTCTTCCTCCTCCTCTTCAACCTGAATGACACTTCATTTCAGCCCTTGCCTGTGTCCTGAGCTTAAGCTCATCTTCTTAAATCATGAGCATAAACTTCTTTAAAAATTACAGTTTTGGTATTATCTTTTTCTAGCAAGCATCATTAAGCTGTCACTGCTGTATTTCCTACCCCAAAAATGCAGGTTTGTCAAAATCAAGGTGTTATTTCTACCTCTTCTGACAGGCACAAGTTTCCCATGCTCAGGTTGTCCCTCAAAGCACTTCGCTGCTCCTATCTGCCGCCCAAGGGACCAAAGCAACAAGACCAGAAGTTCAGTATCCAGCAAATGCCACTGGCCTCCTACCTAACTTCAAACCCGAGCATCAGAAGTTGCATCAGCGCTCTGTCCTACCAGACCCTCACTGTTTTAACCCAAAATTCCTGCATTCGACCTCCCAGGGACAACGTCTGACACTGGGGACGTGTCACCCCACTCGACTCTGCAGGGCCTCCCTGGGTGAGGAGGCCTTGCCTCTCACCCAGCTTTTAAGAGTAATTCAAGGCCACTGATCCCGCACCGCAAGTCAGGGTATCACTGCACAGAGTGAATTTTGGGTTAATCCACAACAAGAAGGGATTGGCGTGGGGGAGGACTAGAGGGGAAAAAACAACCTGCCTTGGTGATTGATTCCTTAAATACTCGCAGAAACACAAAAACATCACTCAAGAGGTTTCTCCATATCACGGGCTGCCTCCCCACATCCATAAATAGACCCCTATTTATCCATACCCGACTGCGTCTCCCTTGACTTAGAACAACAATCTCTGTTCCTCAGAAGGTTTTGGGAGGGCGTCTGGACAAAAAAAGCCCCAATGGCACCAGGGATTTCTCTGAGCAAAACATGTCTGTGAACAGAGAGCTGGAATTGTGGCCTTCAGTCCAACTCCAACATAAGGCCTAGGCCGGACTGGGAACCTCACTGCACTCCCCAGTCACCACGTGGAAATAACCTCTCTTCCTAGTTTCAAAAACACTACTCATTGGCTTTGTAAGCTAACAAGCCCATTTATAATTTAAAAGTATTTGCAACTACGAAGGTTTTTGTTGGCTGTTTACCTTTCCTGTTTGATTTAGCCCGACTCCAATTAGGCTGGCACTTCCAAAGCAGAGGTGGGCGAGAAGTTTGTGTTTACAAGAGCAAGATCATTAACAGCATAAAGGGCTTGAAAGGGAAGGCCTAATTGGCATCGTTTGCCTGGAGGCAAGATCAGCCTCCGAAAGAAACACCACCTAATTAAGAAGGTTTGCACTGTTTTATTTTTAATAATGATCTGCATCCGCTAGGAGCTGTTTCATGGCACCTACCACAACGGGTTCCGGATTTGGGCTTAAACCACATGTATTACAGGTAGGAAGGCAGGAGCTGGAAGTCCTCAAGGGGAAAAGGGAAGGTTTTCCAGGCTGGTGCTGCCCGAGCGGGAACACTTGTATGGCATCCAAGCTCCAGAAAGTCTCAGAGCTTTCCAGAAGGTCCCAAGAGCTGGGACCCATCAGAGGCCATCACCACCTGCCTGTGGGCTCCTTGGCACGACCGAGGGCGGCTTTTGCCACAGCCACTACAGCTCCTGCAGCAGCCGAGAGGATATTACCGATTTGGAGCATGTGCCCGGGTTTGAGCTGCGCTGAATAATTGAAGGGAGAGCCCTTTGATCTGGGCCCTGCGGCAGGGTCTGCAGCGCGGGCACGCGCGCCCATCACACACGCCGTGCCGGGCAGCTCCGCGCGCCGCAACGGGAACCCACAGCGCACAGCTAAGAGACGATTTAAAGAGACTCCTTAATCAGGCTGGGCTTGCACTCTGCAGACCTCCCCAGGCTGCTCCCAGCCCTTCCGAAGGACACGCTGGCTTTGTGACGTGGGCTCCTGCAAAGGAGCGAGGAGGCAACAGGCAGGACACGGAGAGGAACATAGCTCCCACGGGCCTCGTCCTGGGTCTCCGCAGGCAGCGGGTGGCAGGTGAGGGACCCTGCTACCTGGGGCGCCAGCTCACGGATCACCCAGCGGATCAGTCACCGATTTCACGCACGGAAGCCGCTGCGAGGCGGGAGCCGAGCGCCAGCAGCGCCAGGAGCCTGCGCCCACGCGGCACCCTGCAAGCACAGCGCTGCTGCCCACTACGCCGTTCGTCCCAAACCCACCCAAAATAACTGCTGAATTAACGGGGCAATAGCTAACGCACATCTACTTGGTCACGGCTTGGCGAACCCAGCTTGAGGATTAATTGTGTATTAATTCACTTCTGTGTTTGTTTTGCAGGAGCTGAGAGTTTAATTCGAGCGGATGAGCAGCAGCCTGGAGTGGGTTTAAGTCGCACTTTCTACCAGCCAAAGTGGCACCCGGGGTGGCCCCGTGCTGGGTGTGCGCTGCTGGCGGGGCTCAGCGGTGGCACGAGCGGGGCACCGGGGTCAGCCCCACGCACGGAGCGCAGGGCAGCTTCCCTGCAGTTACCCTGCCCATCGCAGCGCTCGGGGCAGCCCTAGAACCAAAAGCAGAGGGAGGGAGAGGGGGAGGATAAAGCAGGGTCAAAAGGTGCCCGTGGGGAGGTGGCAGAAGTTGCCTGGGGCTGCTGGGCTTGCACATAGAGTTGGATCATGGGGTGCTGCACCGGGCAGAGCTCGGCCCGTGCAGCTCCTGCTGCCAGAGCCCCAGCAGTGCCCGAACACAGTCCCAACACAGCCCGTCCTTCCACCCGGTCAGACCTCTCGGCAAAGGCCGGGATCAGCTCCGTGTTCCTGGGCTGCCTGCAGCAGCCGTGAGGCTGCCACGCAACCCGTCCCTGTTGCGGGAAACAGCGCAGAGCTTTGGTCACATCCTCAGAAATAAATAATCGGAATTGGTTAAATAAAACCCAGCGACAAGGCGACAATTTACTGGCTGCAAGTTGTTAAAAGCCTGAGGATTAAGCTGAGATAACTCTCGTTTACCAAATGTGCTTAACAGAACACGAGTGCTTGTAGATGACTGTTTTGTGCTATACTGTGTTGTTCATTTAGAGAACTGAATAAAGAGATGATATTAAGAAAAACGAACAAGTCCACAGCACAAACTAAGTTCTGCTAAGTCCAACTGAACCAACTCTTTCTTCACACCCACACATCTGTCTCACCCAGTATGACCACAAGCTCTTGGAGAGAAGAACCACCAAGAGCATCTATCCCAGTGGAGACCCTATCTCAGCTATCAAAGGCAGGTACTCACTCGTAGGCTATGCTTATTTTAGAGGCTTGCAATGCTAGGATGCCTGAGCTGTATTAAGCTCATGTGGTTTATCTGCAGGTAGACTAAGCCAGAGGAACAGGAAGAAACAGGTCAGCCCACAGCCAAAAACACTGTGCCATATCCACCACATTTCTCACAGCATGAACCTATGCTGCCTCTCACCGTGCCAGAGGCAAGGGAGGACAAGCTTGGGCACAAACTGCTCACCCTTTTCCTGGATGCTCATGAGCTGGGGCAACAACATGGGCAGGCCTAGCTCAGGGCTGGGAGCCTTTCTTGGGCCTCATCAGCAGAGACCCAGAGAGCCACCTCACACACCTCAAATACGCCATAAAGGTCCAAACAAGGGTGTCCAGCCAAGCTCCCAGGAACTCCAAGGCAGGATGGACAAACCACAGCTCCCTGGACAGCAGGATGTGACCACCTACTTGAAATCCATTTGGTGGCAAAGCGGGCAACTATCAACAAGTAAAGCAAAAAACTGGAGCAGACAAAAAAAAAAATGGAGTGAATCACATTGCACTGCGAGGTCGCATCTGCAGGAGACAAATGACCTTTCTGTCGGTTATCTCCCATCTGCCGCCTTCATTTGGGTATTAAATTCACTTTTAAGACAATAAAACAAGTAATAACATCTAACTAATGAATGTTGAATTATCGGTGTAAATATGCCAACGCTTATTTATTTATTTGCCTCACCAAGAACACGTTCTCCTCTGTTTGGTTTTCTATTTTAATGACTACAATTTATCATATTAACCAGACCTCTGCTTTCCTGGGTTTTAAGCTCTACTTTTTGCAGAGACACCTGTGAGGAGGCAGGTACAGGTAAGAAATGCTACTACAAGCAAAAAAAGGTTATAGGAACCATTGCCAAGAGGCCAACGTGACTGGATGGCCCCTATTTACCCCCCAACACGTGTGACATTTCCGTGCCCTCTGCCATTGCGGGCTATGGCCATCCATGGAAAAGGGTCCATAGCTCTCCATCCGTGGCCAGTTCCATAAATACAGAAAACGGGAAGGAAGGAGGAGGCAACTTACCCGCAGGAAGGAGAGGTCTCTGTTGTGCTCGATGCTGGTGATTTCCAGGTTGCCCATCACCACCTCGCAGTTCTCGTAGTACTTGCGCAGCGCCCGGTACTGCTGCTCCAGGTCGGACAGGGAGCTCAGCTTGTTCTCGGTGCCAGCGCACACTGCGGGAGAGCAGAGGGGAGCAGTCAGGAGGGGCTGCACGGGACGTCGGCATACCGGGGATACGGGGAATTGTAACAGGAATTGCGCGGATGCTAGCGCACCGGCTTCAGCAAAAGAAAGGGCTTCCTCCCTTCCTCTTCCCACCCATCTCTTACCTGGTGCACAAGATCAGAGCAAAACAATAGTGAAAAAAGCAGCATTGTTTTTCCCCAAAATCTAGTCTGAACATAGCATGGAGAAGTGCCAGGTCAGTCAGGAAATCCCATTTTAGTGCAGTTAGTTTCCAGACGGCCTCCTCCAAGATTACAGCACTCAGTTCTCAATTCTAAAGACCAAAGCTCAAAGCTACTCCAGAATTACAGCTCTGCTGGGTCTATTAGACTGCCATCACCAGCAGTGAATGAGGAAAACGTTCAGAGAAGCAGCATTTTCCAACTGCTTTTGATCTGTGCATCTTTCTGCCTGCCCTAATAGCAATACTGTTTGGATTTTTCACAAGTGGGGGTCAAGGATTTTTGCCTAATTTTTTTACTCTTTACCAACAACTCACTGGCACTTGTTTGCAAGCAAATAAATCTGAACATATTCCCGTTTTTGAAGTGGGCACCACATAATGCAAATCATGGGCCAGAGCAGAAGAGCCTTTCTGGATCCAGTCCCACTTTTGGATGACATCAACACAAGCAAAACTCTCCACAATTAGAGGCCTAATTAGTAAGATCAACCAAAATATGCTCTTTTGAAAGATGCAAGTCCCTTTCCTAAATAAAATAATAATAAAAAATCTCTCCATCTTTCTGTTAGGACCCAGCACAGCTCCGCCCAACTAGGAATACCCCAAAGGATTCAATGAGATCGCTCAGAGTTGACTCATCTTCCTTTCCCAAGTAAAACATTGCATTTTTGCAAACAAAACGCTGCTTTTAAGATTTTATTTTAAACTATCTGCAGATGCTTCACAAGCTCCTAAATCCTTCAGGGTGATGCACGTGCATCATCACCATGCTCCCTCGGAAGCAGCGGCCACATCGACGCCCACGAGACTGACGGGTCTCCTCTCCCAATACCCGCTGCCCTGGCTGAAGGCTCCCAAGGACTAATAAATAACTTCTGTCCCAGCTCACAATCAGCGCCGAGGATCAATGCAGCTCAGGAAACAATTCCGCCAGGATCTAATAAAGCCCCACGCTGCAGCGCTGCTATTTCGCGCTGCACGCGCGCTACGGGCTTCGCAGAACCTCATTTAGCCCCTGTCTTTGCTACGGGAGGGATGCGATAAGTCGCTGCGCGGCGGCGGCTGGTTTTTAATGCAAAACATAAGTAACAAGGTAAAACGGGATCCCTGCCGCGATGGGAAAATGATGTTTGTGTCTGTAATTACAGAGGAGCTCCTGCTGCAAGCCCTGCTGGGAGGCGCCGCTGCCCGGTCTCTTTGCAAACGCTGGGAGCGTTTCTCATAGGCGGTCTCTGGGAAGCACCGGAGCATCCCACCAGGCTTCCCAAAGAGCAATGCGGGACAGGGACCGGGAGGCTCGGGGACCCCTTGGGAACCTGTGGCCGGACACCCATCACGTTGCCTCCCAGCCCTGCAGGACCCTACGCTGTCCATGTGCCCGTGCTCCCTGCGCGCTGCAAGGTGCCCGGCATCGCCGCGCGGCAGCAGCTCCTTCAAAGCAGACGCCAACACACCGAGTACTTCCGAGTTCTGCCAGCGCGCGGGCGCAGGGACGTGCCCAGCTAGTTCTGTTTCCCCGTCACGCCGCACGGAAAGGCTGTCATCTATATTTCATGGAGCAATGCCTCTTCAAAGCGCCTCCCCGTAGCGCCCACGATGCCGAGGAGCGGCGGCTCGGCCGAGACCGCGCGTTAAAGCCGGCCCTGCAGAGGGGCCTCCCCTGGTTAATGAGGAGAATTATCCTGCCTGCAGCCAGGAAAGCATCTCCAGGATCCATGCAACTTGCTGCCCTGCGCAGCGCGTTCCCACCCGGATCCCATGTGTTGTAGCCAGGAATTCCTTGAGCCTTCCCAGAGCCACCGGGCACCTAACGGTGCCGGTTACAGCGCTAACGACGGCTCTATCCAACTCGTGGCTGCCACCAGTATTCGCACACACAACTCAAGTTCTTTTCCCATCCATTCCCAGTTCTTTTTCCAGGACAAAATCGAATCCTTCAGACGCTCACGCAAAGGCAGGAGGCAGTGGAGAAAATTAAGAAGTGTCCTTTAGCCACTGCTTTTTACCCCATCGTTTCACCCTTGGTGGTGATAAATTTGTAATTTGGATTAAGAAATCATATTTGCCTTGATATAATGCTGCTTCTTGGAATTCCAATCGATTTCATAATTCACCCAGTCTGGAGGACGATCTAACTTGTGCAAAGAGGGGAAACGTGCTTAATGTCTTTTCAGCTCCCCCCCCAAATTTGCCTACCTTCCCAGTTACTCAGGACACATTAAATACAACCGTCCTGGTCCCATTGACCTTAACCACAAAGAACATGAAAAAGCAGCAGGACGAGGCCTTCTTGTTACTTATTAATAACTTATTGCTTATTAATAATCAATAATAACCATAAGCAATTTGGCCCAACACGAAGTAAAAAATACTTGAAGCCCTTACGGACACACTGACTACCCACAGCTTGGAAGCAGCCGCCACCCTTGCAGCTGCAGCCTCTGCTGCACCCACAGACACGAGAGGGGTAAACGGCATCGGTCCCTGCACTCTCCTACAGCTCTCCTTAAACGAGCTGCAACCGTCTGAACTTGCCAGCAACGGGGCATGTCCCAATCAAGGGAGGGACTCGGTGCACTTGCAGCCTTGCAGACATCACCTATGAGGAGTCAAAAAACCAACTTCAGGTGTATCGTTCTCCTCTAATCCAGTGGTTCTGGAGAGTGTTCCAGCTAGAGGACTTTTTCTTCTCGCTAGGTGAGAGCTGCCTCTGCTCCTGCAGACCTTTCTCTCCACTCCTCATTCAAAGCTCAGCCAGCGTTTTCCACCCATAAGCTCTGCACTAGGAAACCATCTTCATGGGTGAATCCTGCTGTGTGTCACCAACCCTCCCAGTGCAACACGGAGCAGGTTGGGAGAGGGCCACCCAGCCACCACACAACCCACAGGGGCTCCGTTGGGATGGTGGGCAGCACGTGGCCAGGTCCAGCCTGGTGCAGGGTCTCCGCTCTTTGTGAGAGCTGGCAGCACTAGGGACCCAAGGGATGAAGGCCTTGGAACATCCTCACTGACCATTTGAGCCTGGTTTCACACAGTTTCACCAACACCTCCCAAGCTTGCCGAAAAGCCTGCAGGGATGTATTTAACTGAGGTTGTCCCACCTCCACCGGAGACCCATAGATGGGATCTGCAGGCGGGTCCCTCCCTGTCTCACAGGAGTAAGAAGAGACCCAACAGGCAGACTAAATATCGACAGCGATGGCATCTTCATCACGAAGGATTACCCACATGTGATTACACTGGCAGCACCCCATCCTCGCACTAAGCTCTCCAAAATCCGGCATATTTCAAGTGATGCAGCTTGACTAAAAAGCAGCAGCAAAGTGGGGCTAGATTTAGGCAGAAGCCTTTCAAGGACTGACCACTATCACGGCCTGGGCTTGTGTCAATATTTCAAGCACTCTCTCCTCCAGTTTCCTCACAGAGGAATTCCACATTGAGGAGGACAACAAGCCAAAGGGTCCTACAGGAGCTAAATTATGCAGCCACCACTAAAGAGGAAGCAGAAATTGCAATGGAAGACTTTGCCAATAATTTTTTCCCCCTAGGACTGTGTATGAAACTCCGTTCTCTGGATACCTCTCCTCTTCTCTCCCCTTGCCCCTCACAGACGTACACACAGACGCACGTGTTTGCTCTCCTCGTTTTGTCCTATTTCAAGGGGAAATAGTTGCTCCTTAACTATAATGTAGGCACCGGACTTGACAAGCAATTAAAGCAAACAATTTCCACTCATCTAACTTGGCCAAATTAGTCATCCGCCATCTGCTCCATCATCTGGCTCTCCTTGAGGTCCTGCTGCGGAGCTGGAAGCGCTCGCTCCGCGCGGGAGGCGGCGCAGGAGCCTCCGGCCCGGCGGGACGCCCTGGGGAGCAGAGCACCCACGCTGCTGCCCGCACACGGCCAGCACAGAAACCATCTTCAGAAACATTCCAGCCTATGGATCTCATCCGTGGGCCGGTAAATGAGCGCACAGCGGGGATGAGAGCCTCATGACAGGGAAAGAACCAGGTGTTTTCCTTCATGGAAAATAGGACAGGGTTAAACTGAGCAATAAAACCTGCGGTATTAAATCACTTTCAGATACCTACCTGCCTATATATATATATATGTTGGCACAACTGCCTTTTCAAATACCTGAAGTTTATGAACACATCACTGCATCTTCTCCTTCTGCACTGCGCGCGTGGAAACATACAGCCCAGTTTGGGGCTTGCATCTGCTACCAAAAGCCTTAATTTCTTGTGGTTTGCACCCATTTCACACAGTTTCACCCAAGTTGCTCAGAAGCCATCGTCTTTGCCCATGAGCACCAGGGCAAGGGCAGGGACACGTGGTGCATACACCAGGCTCCAACTTTCCCAAGTCAAAACCATCGACTCAAGCCTCCCGTCCCACAACTCAAACACAACAAGCATGAAATCAGCATCAAAACAGGCAACCAACCAAGGGTCAAGCAAATGAACAAGGGTCAAACAGGCCAACAACCACAGTGAAACCCCTCGGGGCAGCCCCATGGCCAAGGGGACGGGACAGGCCATGATGGGCCCAGCTGCTCTCTGAAGCACCACAAGCCCTTGCGGTCACAGCCTGTTCCTTAGCACCTCCAGCCCCATCAATGTCACCACAGATGCCATTTATGCTTCAAGATGACCAAGGAACATCAAGAGAGCTCTAGTGGCCGCTGCCAAACAGTGGTGAAAAGGGGCAGGCTTCAAAGCTTCCCTGAGGGGGGACATGGGGAAAGCTGCGACTCCAGACCAAGCAGCTCCTGCTGACGGTTCCAGCTTTGCCACAAGGATAGAGAGCCTCTCCTCCCTTGAGATCTGCACTGTGGACCACAGAATTAGGTGTTTTTTGGGCAAAGTATTGCAGGTTTCTTGCAGCAGGAGGGGACTGCAGATGGCGACGCT